GTCATCTTCAAGACGATTTCTGAAACCCACCTAAGTATGTTCGTAAACCATTGACAAAGGTACAATTTAATACCTGGAACATTGCTTCTAATGGAGACCTGCATTACCTACGCATTGAGGTTTTAATGGTCGGATGAAGGTACCATGACATCTTGGGGGGGTCAGCTAGAAATGTGATCGCCAGAGTTGCCTTCCCCAAATCTCTCACATTGTTGCCCTTTTGCTGCCAGCTTCTCCCATCTCAAATTTCAGGCTTGGGCTACAATACTTATTAGCCATGTCTTTCTCTCCGATTGCTCTAGTGTAGAGGAAAATCATTTGAATGCATCTGATTGGTTAGCTCTTCCCTATGTATTTTTATCTATCAATCACTGGAAGTTTCTTAAAAATAGTGACGAATGTTAACCATAAAGTAACACTCAGGATTTCACAGGTAGGCTCGATGGTTAGATGCTCACATAGAATTGGTGCAGCTGGTGCTTTTTCAAGAATTGATTGTGTTTGCTTTGCTTTTCTCAGGACCAAATGTTGTGGCCATGTCTAAGGGTGAATTGAGTGTTTCCCATTCATTTACATTATGAAATCTGAAGCACTGTCAGAAGTCAATGATACCTTCTAGCCGTTCCTTTCCCTCAGACTATTGACCACCTCTGAGCCCTACTTTGCCTTTCCTGACCTAGACCCCCATGATTGAGCAGTGAACATGTTTACACAGGTACTCTCGAAGTTCTTTGTCACTTCTCTCTCTACCACATTTGTTCTAATGAGCCTTAGACGAATTCAGTCAACAAGGTACTATAGCACCTTCTACACTCAGATTGTCAGACACTACTGAAGCAAATTACATACCTGTCCTTTGACTAATATTTTGGGATCTCCAACTGAAGGAAAGTGTTTAATGTCCCATAAAAATCCTTTCACACATAGCAGGCAGCATTTTCCCCAATTGCTCCTACTGTTTGTCCTGATTATTCTCCATCCTCGATCCCCTATCCTTTCTGTCACAAATACTATTTCCTCCAGCATCAGCTGCAAACTCTTTCAGATTCTTATCCCATATACACAAACTTAACTATATACACCACCACCTTTCAACTTCCTGTCTGAAAATATCTCTTCTCTCAAGATTTGAGCTCTTATTTTAAGCTCCATTCCTTCACCATTCATTTATCTATTCATTCAATACATAGTCATCCAATGTTCATCATCCATAATTGTACTAAATGATTGCAGCTCTACAGTAAGCTAGGCAGAGATTTCGTACTACCCCTTCAGTCCTTAGGAAGCTCTAACCTTTTCACTTCTAGTGTTTGAGATTTACCACCAGAGATGCTGAGATGTAGGGTTAGGAGTTGCTTCTTAAAGGACATTTGAGAGTTTTGATAGTCTGTCAAATGTTTATCCCACAAATATGAGAGTTGGATGCAACTATAGTAGTATGGAAGTACATTGTTTTATTTAAGTCTGGGAAATAATTAATTCCTTTTCTTCTTTTTGTCCATATTCCTTTTGATCAGTGTTCCTCAATATTATAATTTGGTATTCTCAGTTAACATGCTCTTGAGCCAGTGAACAGAGAGGACCGTAGGGCCAGCCCATACCACAAGACACTACATTCCCTCACTGACCCATAGCGCTACGTGGGACAGCACTGGAGACACTGTGCAGAAAGTATGCCTGGTCTGCCACACACAGAGAGGGGTGAAACGCGAAGAGAGTGCAACAGGGCAGCAAGGGGAGCAAAGTAACAAAGTCCCAAGGAATCCTGAAAATAGACTTCTGATTTTGGGGTCAGGGCTTGGAACCTCATCAGACCTGGTTAGAAAACCCTCAAAAGGGTCAACAGACAGACCTCAACTATCTTTTTTTTGTTGTTGTTAATTTTGCCCTATGTCTATCTATGTAAGATAGGCAGGACAAACAATCCTGAGGAAAAACTAACAGGATGGGTAGTCCTGAGGGGACATGAGAGAGGAGTAGGCGGGGAGGGGAACAGGGAGCCAACAAACTCAGGGATAAGGGAATAACAAGAGATCTAAAATTGATGGTGAGGAAGGGGTATAATGCCTGGTGGGGGTTGATCAAGTGCAATGTATCAAGGAGGAATTACTAAGAGCTGAACCGAGGGTGAGTGTGTTAGTCTGGGTTGACTAGGGAAATAAATCCAGAGACACTCATGTGTGTGAGAGAGAACTTTATATCAAAGAGTAATTGTACATTAAGAAAACATCCCATCCCAGCTCAGTCCAGATCAAATACATAAGTCCAAAATTACCCCTTACACCAATACTAGTCCATAAATTCTCTTTAGACTCACACAGTCATGCAATGATGCTGAATGCAGGAATATCACAGGCCCGAGGGTAGAAAGTCTTGTGGATCCAGTGGCAGTGGAAGCATCTCAACACTGGCAGGGGTCTCCACGTGGCTCCTGCAGCTCCAGGGCTCTAGCTTAGCTGTCTTATCAGCAGGAAGATGAAGCAGAGAGTCTGGGTCTGGCTTCCAGTGAGCTAGTTATCTCCTTAGTGCCTCCAAATGAGGTCATCAAGCTGTGACCTGATTGACAGACTAAACTCCTCCCTTCACTCTTATTGGTCTCAAGTTGACACCAAATTATGTAAATACCACAGAGAGCATGATAGTGGGAAGGAGGAAGATAAAAGGAAACAGAGGAAAGAAGTAGGAGGCAAAGGCTGTTTATAGAGGTATAGCTATAGGCATGTATATATGTAAATGTATTAATTTATAATGAAAACACATGTTCTTGGACTTCAATGCGTAATTTTCAAAACATTAAAGAAACTTCAAATATAGTGAATAAAAATACCTTCCCCTACTAGGAAATAATATATGTCATCTTTCCAGAAAAGCAAATTTCTTACTTTTATTTATTAAACCTGTAGGGTATGCTGAATAAGTATCCACCCCTAAAGGTATAGTCCCTTTCTAATCCCCAAAACATGTGAAAATTGCCTTACAAGTGGACACTAATTTATAAAGTAGACGCTGTGATTAGGCTAGCGATCTTGCAGACATTTTTCCCCTGAGCTATGCACACAGGCCATAAACACAGGTCAAGGCCTCAGGAGGTGAGTGAGGTTTCACACAGGCACACGTGTGGAGGGAGAGATTAGAAGATGGAGGCAGAGATTCATGTGATAGTCACAGAGTGAGGAACAGATTTCCCCTGAGGACTCCAGAAAGGGTGCGGACCGGCCCATACTTCGATTTTTGACTTCTGGTTTTATGATGGCTTTTCCTCTCATTTACTCTATTTCTATAATAAGCAAAATATAGATATTATCTGTCAGATGCACTGGCTCTGAGAGCCACCATTATGTTTATGGAATTCATGCTTTGTGAAATCACCATGGACCACAGTTTACATGCCAAGCCTGCCATGTATTAATAATAGACTCATAACTAGTTTCTCTAGGATTTTGATTACTCTTCTTGGCAAAGCAAAAGATGGTTGTAGGTAGCATTACATGTTAGTCTGAGTAGACTAGAGAAACGAATACATAGAAACTCATATATGGAGTTTTAGGTATATAAAGGGTAAGTGTACATTAAGAAAGCATCCCAACCCAGTGCTTCCCAAACCCTTAAGTCCAACATTAGCTCATATGTCCGACACCAATCTACAAAGTCCTCCTTAATCTCACAAAGTACACACCATGATGCCAGCTGCAAGAAGAAAGCCAAATCAGTGAGTGTGTAAGCATCTCAGCACTGGTGGGGGTCTCCACGTGGCTGCTCCAACACCCAGAACGGCATCAGGGTAAGTCCATGTGGCTTCTCTTCAGGGATGTCTCACAGGAAGTGAGCCTTGCCAGGTGAAGCAGGGAACTGGCTAAGGCAGCTGCACCCTGGTCCGAACATCAGAGAGCAAGAGACCCGAGAACTAGAAAGGCGAGGCTCCCTGAGCCATTTATCTCTCCACCCTTCAATTAACCCCACATGTGTTTATCGGACAGGCTGGCACAATAAACCTTAACTATCTCAGGTTAAATTAAAATAATTTAGAGTGCCTATACTGTTTATTTAGAACACTGTCATTTTGACTGTTGTCTTTTCTTTTTTAAAAAATCATTTTATTGGGGGCTCGTACTAACAGCTGTGTTAGAATGATGGAAAATCCTCTTTGTGAGGTCCTCTTGGCTCTGCCTTGTGGAGGGTGTCAGAGGCGGGCGCACCATCAGTGAGGCAGTAGGAAATGCAGGCTATGGAAAAAAACAAACACACAAGACCAACGGCAACCCATCTGAACGCAAGCACACACTGTAACCTCTTCTCCTTTCTGTGCCATGGAAATGTTCTCAGCTGAGGATCCTCTGTAGCAGAGAGAGAATCTCAGCAAAACCCATCCAAGTAGGGACGTGAAGGGCAGCACCAATGCCTCCCCAGGCAGAGTGGGAGAAAGAATCCTGATAGGCCCTTTGGTACGCAGAAATGACCAGTTGGAAGAGCAATCATGAACTACTTTATAGCATTAAATAAACCACAATAATGCCTTGTGATGTAGAATTTAATCATAATAATAAAACTCCCTTTTGGTAGACCCCCAAATATGTGTATTATCACTAAGCTTCAACAAATTCTATCAAATAAGAACCATAACCTCATTTTAGACATTAGAAAATGGAATCAGACAGAGATTCAGTGGCTATCATTAGATAACGTTCTGTGGATTGTTGCAGGTGGCATTAAAAATGGAGTCTAACCACCAGAAGAGCCCACATTCTTTTCAGTACAGAAGGAAGTCTCCACAGGTGGTTCTCAACATTAGTATCGCTAATCCTATTGTGGCCACAACTGTTACTGGTTGCTCTTTCTCTGCTCTTTTATGTTCCTTGTACCTCCCCCCCACACACCGATAAAAACACGAGGAAATTATCATTGACTGATCTATCTACACAATTCCACTGGGTGATTTTCCTGAAACACCCTAAGGCTCTTGTGAGCACATCTTTTGAGGCTCTACTTTTGTTCTGGTCCAGGTGTGCAGAACAGCTAGTTCACAATCACCTTCCAACCACCAGTGTGATCATGTGCTTTGTGGACGAAGTGTGGTCCACTCTCCTGAGGTCAGTGCACAGTGTCCTTAACCGTTCGCCCGCACATCTCATCCGGGAGATTCTGCTGGTGGATGACTTCAGCACCAAAGGTAAGTGGACTACCCACGCTTTCTACTGAGAAATCCAAATTTGGTATGAAGCCATCACAGTTTGGAAGCCAAGAGTACAATTGTTGGATGGAGCATAAGGAGTGGTGCTGGGGCAGGGGTTAGAGCACTCAGCTGCTAACTCAAAAGTCAGCAGTTCAAAGCCTCTTGCTGTTCTGTGGGAGAAAGAGTTGGCGGTCTGTTTCTGTCATGATTGTATAGGCTTGGTGACACTGTGGGAAAGTTCTCTTCTGCACATGGAGTCACGAGGAATTGGAATTGACTTGATGGCAGTGGACTTGGGTTTAGGCTTGTTAAAACCATGGCTGGGGTATCTTGGAGGGATGAGGTAACAGTACACAGGATGTAAAAGTCAGCGCTAACATTCATCCCGGGTTGTTGTTCCACCCGTTGCCCTAGGCTTCTCTTCCAGGTCACCACGATTTTCTAACTGTACTCTTTCGAGATAGGCACTTTGAAGTGCCAGAGACCCCAAAATGTCCTATACATCTTCACGAATCCCTTTGGGTACACTCTACTAGGCAAATGTCTCACAATTAATAATCAGCCTTTTCTACCAGTAATCCCTAGAGTTGGAGTTATACCCCAGGAGAAGCAAAGAAACAGACGACCTTATCACATATTCAATCAAGTGCTGAGAAGTCACATTGCCACTGGGACCAGAAAGAAAAAGTTCCAATAAGGTTCAAGGTGTTTCCATGAAGTTTTGTTTATTACAGTGAGGACTGTCACTCCACAGGCTGTCAAATAAACTGTGTATGTAGGTGGTCTTACAGCGGCCATGCCCTCCTATGTTACATCTGTCCAAAACACAACTCCCTGCGCCCGACAAAAAGTTCTAAGGAAAAGAAAATGAGCACCTTAATAGAAAAGCTTAAGTGACGGCAGTGATGGGAACCAGTTTCCTGAGCCACAGAGCTCCTTCCAGGATTACACAGGCTAAGGAGCACTGAGACGCCGAAGGAAATCGAGTTTCCCTTTTTAAGTGGCCTGGAAAGTTTAAACAGAATAATATTCAGTTACCAAGCTATGTTATGAGAGGCAAATCCAGGTTTGGTGGGACCTGAAGTGTATACAGTTGTCGGACCCTGTGTTGGAAAAAGCATGCAGAGTTGACAGGAAACTGAGCCGAAGTTCTCTGGGAAGCCGTTCCTACCTGGGAAAGCTGTCAGCAGCTTAACTGGTCACACAAAAGTGATTGTGTGGCACATAAACAGGCCCATAACACCTCTCAAATATTCCATTAGCTGTAGCTGTAGCTGTAGATCCTTCTACAGCCACCCAGCAAGAGACAGGCAATTTGATGAAGGCGGACGCCTGGAGTGGAGAGGGGCATGGGCTGGAAGCAATTGCTCTTCACGGATCTTCTTCTTCCCTTCTTCGTTTTTTCAGTACAGATTTCACTGCTTGTGCACATTTCTGAGCCTCCTGCTTAGGTCTTGGAAGCGACACGGGGTAGAGTGGGGTGGGGTGGGGATTGCGCCTGAACAGGCTTTACTTCAAGGGATAGTCTTGACTCAGATAAGGTGGGTTCTCCTCAGCCCAACTTGGCAGCAAGAAAAAGCTTTGGGATTTGGGAAGTAAGGTCATTTATAGTATTGAGCCCAGGTAAATCCATTAAAGAAAATATCAGCAAACAAAATCATGGCTTGAGGAACACAGTTCAGCAACAATAGGAAGGGTTGAATTTGACACGAGGGAGGCACTCCTGGAATGTGTCTAGGCTTCGTCACCCATCTGTGTGATTTCTTTTCTCCCCTCCCTCTGGTACAGACTACCTAAAAGATCATTTGGATAAATACATGTCTCAGTTTCCAAAAGTCCGCATACTTCACCTCAAAGAGCGACATGGTTTGATAAGAGCCAGACTGGCAGGCGCCCAGCATGCAACAGGTAAGAAGCCATGGATTTTTCCTTCTTCCATTGAAAAAATATATATTTTCAAGCATTTAGCAAAATTTACAGTACAATGAACACACATATATCCATAACTTCGTGTAACCAATTTTTAGCATTTTGTAATATGAGAAGACTTCAAAAGCCCACCGACAAAGAGCACTAAAGGGTTGTTAGTTGGGTGCAGTTTCCTTCTGTCCCGACAATGTCTTTTCCTAAGACTCTCGGAAATTCCTGGCCAAGAAACAAAAGCAGAATCATCCATTCACAACGGATTTGGATGAAAACTGGTAATAAGATCAGGTGCAATGCCAAGAGAAGACATGGGAAAAGAACCAAGCTGGGTCTACGAGGAGTTGCCCATGGGATGGCACACAGCATTTACCAACATTCGCTGACATCCTGTCATACTGAGTTTAAAACTTTGCCACTGTCTGATTGGGAAACATCTGGTTTATTCCTTGATTTTTTATGTTTCCACACTAAGTGGCTGATGGCTAATGTGCATGTGAGGTCTTTGGTTTGGACAAAAGGATAATGGGATTTTTCCATACACCTTTTGAAGTCCCCATTTGTATCTCCTGTAGCACACACATATGTACACAGACTGTGATAGACATAAACTTACTTTTATGTCTTACTTACTTCTTCCTGGAGCTTTGAAAAGGAATTTACAGATTTTATAGCATTGCATCCTTAGATACTTCAGCAAACACCTTGGAAGAATAAGAACATTCCTTTACATAAGCACACATTTCAAACCTAAACATCCCCTAGTGTATAGCCCCTTGCTCTGATCTGAGCTGTTCCAAATATGATTCAAACCGATTATTTTCCTTCTTTCTCTCTCCATAATTCTTCTTCAATTTCTTTTTAAAATTTAGGATATGATTAACATTCATGAGCTGTGCCTCTTCTCTTTTAATCTAGTATCATCACTCTGTAAAATATTTCTATCATATATATTTTTTAAATAAAGACATTTGTTTGGTAGAAGTGACAGCATTTAAAATTCTTCTGATTGTTTCCTCATATTAGCTTCATGTCTTTGGTATGATCACCACATAGATGAAATACATTGCTGACTTCTGATGGTCTCAAATCAAGAAATAGAAGATGTCAAACTTTGCACTCTGGGTGATACTACTTTTTGTACTTGGTTAGGATGGTGAAAACCAAATAGATTTCTTGGCAGTAAGAAGTACTTTATGGGATGCTATCTTGATTCATGTGCCTACCCTGGTTTACGTACAACATTTTACTCAATGGTTTGCATTCATTGATGACCCTTGTCTGAAGCAATCATTACACTTAGGTCTGCAAAATTGTGGGAAAAAAATTTTCCCCTGCTTCTATCATTTTTTCTTTTATTAATTACAAAGAAGAGCTTTTCTAGACTGATTCATATTCTGTGTGTGTGTCTGTCTGTCTGTCTGCCTGTCTTTCTCTCTCTTTGGGTATGTGTGTGTTCTCCCCCTGAACCGAGGCCCATTTTTCATTACTATGGAATAGTAGTTTTAAAAAAGCTAATGTATATTTTGGTCGCTTTGTGTAATTCTTTTTGCTACTCAAATTTCCCCAAATCTGTCCACTGGGAATGCCTTCAAGCCAGGGCCTTTGAGGCCTGGCCCAGTTGGTATTTTAGATGTTCACAATCTATTAACTGTTGAATCTCTCCCCTCCCACTAATGCTTCTTCCCTGACCTACATCTCCTCTCTCTAGAGCTCTTCAGGCATTTTCAAAGGGCAATATGACTTCCTTTCCTCTCCTCTCCACTCTGTTATGGATGCTGGTCTCTGAGTAGAAGGAGGTGAATCTTCTGTGTTCATGAGTATTCTAAAAATAACATCACACATTTGGTTTCATTTTTAACATTCTTCTGTGGAAGAAGCTAGGTCCTTGTAATAATAGCTGACCTTATAGCAAGTACCATTTTGAGTGATTTCTCTATTCATGGCCTTAATTCTCCTAATATTTCTCTAAGGCTACCGTTGTTGTTGGGTGCTGTAAACTTGATGCTCACCCATAGCAGCCCTGAGAAAAAGTAGAACTTCCCACAGGTTCCCTGAGCTGAAAGCCTCATAGGAACCGATCACCAGACCTTCTATTCTGTGGAGTTACTGGTGAGCTTGAATCACTGACCTTTGGGTTGATAACCAGTGCTTAACCAAAGGGCCACCAAGGCTTCGCTCTATGTGGTGGTTGTTGTGTGCTGTCAATCAATTTGGACGCACAGGACCCTATGATACAGAGTAGAAAAAGCTGAGATTTTTGTAGGAACAGACGACCAGGTCTGTTCTCTCATGGAGCAGCTGGCAGGTCCAACTACTAACCAGCAGAGCCATTTACACATTGGGTCGCTAGGGCTTCTCTCTAGAAGGTAAGCCAAGTACTTTCTACATTAAACAGATAAAGATCTGGAAACGTGGTGAAGTTACGTTTTGATCAAGGTCTCCCAGCCACTGAGTGTTGGAGTCAGGACTGGAATTCACCCTCAAGAACCTGCAGTGTTATTGTCTACGCCATGATGCTGCCATGAAACACTTAGCCATTCCTCTGCTATGGCCTGTAGGCTAAGCCATAACAGACCCCCCCACCCCCAAGCTTGGAACGAAGCATGTTCTGATAGCAAATTACCTGCACACCTAAGTCTTACTTCCTTGGAACTAAACCCAAATTCAAAGCTCCAGTGATGCCATTGGTATTGCATTTTTCTTTTAACGTATTGAAAAAACAAACCCCAAACAATAAAATGGCATTGCAGTGACAGCTTAGATTCCTAATGAGAGATTTTAGTCAGAAAAATTCAGTGGAAGTCCATGTCTAAATTTCTTTGGAAAGTACATTGTGACCCATAAATGAGACAAACATAAAGAAGTCAATCAATAGTGTTAGGTAGGTAACCCTTGAGCTAGAATCTGGGTGAAGAACGTCCCGGGGAGAAAGGACAATAGGCGGGCAAGGAAGAAGGCGTCATGAATGAGAGGAGTGGGCGGCAAGGAGAATGGTGGGAGGGTTGATTGGGAAGAACGGAAAGGGCAGGCTTTTGGAGCGTTGGTACAGACGTTATTAAAGAAGCATGGGCAGTTTTCTCAGTGGAATGGGAAGCCAATGAATTAAACAAGGGAGCAATATTTATTTACATTTTAAAAACTCACTCTGGTCACTCTATGGAGACTTGGGTAAGCCTCAATCCTCTCACTAGAGAATGATAAAGGAAAGAGGGGTTGTCTAGTTAGTACGTTAGAGGGGTTAGTAGGTTATCATAGTTGTCCAGAAACCTTGAACTAGGGAGCTACCAGGGCAGATGGGCAATGTGGGCAGATTTAGGGCACAGAGGAGCTTATCGGCTTGTTGTGTTAGGAGGAAAAGACAGTATGAAAGAACTTCAAGATGAACCTGAGAATTCATATCTGCATAACTGCGTAGGAATCAGGGCCAAAACTGGAGAAGAAGATTTAGGATTGAAAATGAGTTCTGATTTCTCCCATGTAAGTCTAATATGACAATTAGATATTCGTGTGGAGAAATTTTATGAATACAAAAGAGAGAATGTACTTCATATAAAAACATTCTCTCCTCGCCTTCAGGAAGCAGAAACCATGCTGTAGTAGCCTCCAGCATCGTCTGACAAAGGATGACTTTGGAAGCTGCCTTCAGAGGCGATGTGATGCACATGAGCCAAAGAATTTGCCTCCACCACATGCCCCTCGTTTCAACCACAAAACAGTTCCTTTGGATTCTGAGTCCTGTACAATGCAAACACGTCATCAATTAGAACCTTGAACACATTAACTCGGTGTGATGCAGTAACTTCCAACCTATTGTGACCATGGCACAGGATAAGAGATCATATTTCCATACTTGTGGAGAAGTCTCATAAAATAACAAGGGCTGTGAGCGTCTAAATTTTTTCTTTTCTATTATTTTTTTTTATTTACAATTTTGACCACAATTCAATCGCACTTAATAGATTTAGTGATCAACCCACAATCAGGTCATAATTTCTATTACAAACAGTCCAGCTCTGTATATTTTAATTGCTTGCCTCTACCTGACCTGACTGCAAATACTTTTGTTTAGTTTTGCTTTCATGTAGAAAAAAGTGCTTCTCAAGCTGGCTGAGGATTTTTTTAATTCTAGGGCACAGCGGAGCTTATAGGCTTGTTGTTGTGTTAGGAGGAAAAGACAGTATGAAAGAACTTCAAGATGAACCTGAAGTTCTTTACTCGTACACATCCATGTGTATGTATATGATCTGTAAAATATACATGTACAATCTGTAAAATATAAATACAATGCAAATAAATTATCTGAAAATAAATTAAAAGGTATATATTAAACAAAAGCCCACTTTTTGCATATATGATAATATGTATGCTATATATATGAGGAAAATAAACAAAGTATTTCTACTGGGGCCCCAGTGCATGCATGCATGATTTTGTTACAACCAAAACATGTTTACACATGTCTCTGAGATCAATAAGCGGCGATAGCCAAATTCTCTCAGTAATTCACTTGTCTTAGTCTCATCAGGTGCCTCTAAAAATCCAGTGAAAACAGTGTCTTCCTCCCGGAGGATCTGCTGGCCAGTTAACTTCAAAGCAAAGTAATAAGTTCGGAACCTTATACAACTCTTTGGGGGGAATCCAAAATGGGGCAATCTTGATAAGTTTTCTCAAATGACACTGGTCAGGTACGAGGGTTTATTAGGAAGAAAACCAAAAACTACTTTGTGATAAAAGGTCGGGAATGTTATACCGAAGCATTTTTGTTTGTTTTGTTTTTTCCCCATCACAATGCACCTACTTGTTCTTTGACGGTAGTAAGGGTTGTCCTATGAGAATTTCTTTAGGGAAACTTCCTCCATCCAGGGGACCACCCAGGTCTTCAGAATTCTTTTTGTTCCCCAAACTCAAGGAACAGTTAAAAAGAACATAATTTGAGGCCCTCAAGTATGCTCAAACTATCATTTTGATGTAATATAAACAGAAAAATATAAAATGGGAAAATATTAGAAAAAATCAATGATAACTCCTAACAACCCTATGCCAGGGTTTCTCGGACTGTCAGTCTTTCCACTCGCAGAGAGCCTGGTCTCTCTGCTAAAGAGCAGCTGGGGGAAACAAAACAAACATGGAAGAGGAGCTGGTGGGCTTCATCCTTGTGGCAAGCAGTCCAACGCTTCCCTGAAAGTGGGCTTGCACAGTGGGTACTGCCTCCTGAATTTCAGAAGTGTGCAGTTTTAGATGGAGGACATAGTGGGAAACAATAGCATCAAACTTTGTTGGTTTTATTTAATAAAAATGTCTATGATTGCATGGCAAAACCTTTTGACTTGTGTGTGTGGACAGTCAATAGACAATAAATCATTCTGGAAACTTTCTATGAAGTTTTAGATGTTTGCTCTTAATTTCTGTTCACTATGAACAGCAGGGTCTGAGGCCCCCGCTTTAAGCAACGTTAGTGGAAGGCTGATGCCTACAGGTTTGAGAGGCGCTGAAAGGTGTTCCCCTATAGGGTTAGCCACGGCCTTGATTAAGCAGGCATCACACTGCCACGGGGAACACCAAAGCTGTGGGGAGACCAAGGGCATTAGAATCCTGTGTGAATTTTAGCTGAGAATATAACTCAGAGACTGGCATGGGGTGAAGGTGGCCAACCTGGTAGGTCCTCTAGGTTTGTGGCAAGGATTAAATAAGGCAATTGGGTAGAATGCTTAAAACATTGTCTCTCATACAGTAAGCACTTAGCAAATTATAACTGATTCCTTGAAGGTTGTTAATGATCCCTCGAGACACACAGATACACATATGCACATACAATCTACTTGTGTAAAAATATTCAGAACGACATAGATGATACTGAGATTTTAACTGAGTGAAGACAAAAAGTTATTTCATGCAACTATCAGAAAATAAGAGCAAAAGTATTTTAAATAAACATTTCTGACAGATTTCTTTTTAATCTTTTTTCTATGAGCCTTCTTATAACATCTCCTGGTTTGCTGGTTTCTCTACTTTATTTCTCTTATTATGTAAAGAAATGTATCTTCTTCGTCTTCCCTAAAGTCAAACTTGTATTTTCATATGTATCCTGATCTTCCACAAAACAGAGTCTCAGCCACCCAGAGTGAATGGAGGTCGCCCTCTTTAGAAGAGACATCAGGAATTACCTTTAATACTGAGGATTCCCTCTGGCATCTTGCTACCTATCCTAAGTGGCTAATCAATTTCTGCCTGACATAAATGATATTTGCCATACAGGAATTCTGACGAAATAATTTTCATCCATTTCATTATAGGATGAAATTTTAGCGACCAAGAATTCACTGAGAAGTAAAGACTACTGCTTTCACGATCAGACTTCTGGGATAACACCCAACATCTCTGATCATGTAGGGTGCACAGTCTGAATTTGTAAATGATACCTGTGTTGTGGTTATTGTTGATCTCTAGGTGATGTGCTGACATTCTTAGACTCTCATGTGGAATGTAATGTTGGCTGGTTGGAGCCTCTCCTGGAAAGAGTTTATTTAAGTCGAAAGAAAGTGGCCTGTCCAGTTATTGAAGTCATCAATGATAAGGATATGAGGTAATACTGTGATAACTTTACAGAGTCTATTTTCACCACCAGCAAACAGTAGCAACCTTAACTTTAAAGAATCCATCTTTTCAACACTGAGAAATACACAATGTATCTACTTAAAACCAAATTAAAATTCATGATAATTATCTTAGAGAAAGGAAAGACCAATACCACAGTTTATTTGGTCATCACATATTCTCAATCCTCAGTGCCAAAATATCCAAATTCTCACTGTCTGGTTCTTTCCTATTTATATGCTACTGAAACAAACAAACAAAAAATCTTTATTTCTTTCAAGTTTGGTTCTTCTTTTTTGTTATAAACATGCATGTGCCTGCTACGTGTTGTGTTTTCTGTTTTCCCTCAAAAATGGCTAGGGCATTATTACAGAAAAACTATAAGCTGAAAACAAGCAAATTAAACTCATAAATATTCAACAATTATTAAAAGTTTTAATAATCTAGAATCATCTTTATAAGTACCTATTTTGTATTTTTGTTTATTTTAACAAGGCATTGAGTTCAGTTGGTGGAGAATTCAAAAATGTATATGATTCAAATGGCACATTTGCTCTTTTCCCTGGGTTAGTTACATGACCGTGGACAATTTTCAAAGAGGAGTCTTTGTCTGGCCCATGAACTTTGGTTGGAAAACAATTCCACCAGATGTCATTGCAAAAAACAAAATTAAAGAAACGGATGTTATAAGGTAAGTGACAATCATGAACCTATTTTTGTTAGACATAGAATGCAACTCAAAAAAAAAAAGCACAGTCTCTTATTAATGTAACCTCAAGGATTAGAGTTCTAGTCGCTAGACAGCCAAAAGCAAGCAATGGTTTTCTGACAAGTTAACGCCCCTTACCAAACTTCACTTTTTAAATAGTCATCTGCATCCGTTTCAGTCCAGAACCCAATTCCTGTTCATCCTAAGTTTGATATTGTATGCTGTTGAGTAGATTCTGGCTCATCGAGTAGAATTCCACCATGGGGTTTCTGACAGTAATCTTTACAACAGTATGTGGCGAAGCCAGTCTCCCTTGAAACAGCTGGTAAGTTGGAAACAGGGACCTTTCACTGAGCAGCTGAGCACTTAATCATTGGGCCAGCAGGGCTCCATTACCCTAAATTTATCACTTAAGAAGCACAAAATAGATGGAAGTGTTATTTATCACACACATGCTACCTTTGAAACATTTGTGGAAATTAATACAGTGAATAATAGCAATAGAAGAATTATTGCAATAATAGCCATTGTTATGACTCTCTTTTTATGATCCAATTCCACCTACTCCATGGGAAGGGTGAAAACTTCTGTGAATCAGTTAAGAAATAATTCTGATCTGAAGTCAAAATTAGGGGCTTCTTATTTCCCGGAAAGCATGGAGCACACCACAAAGCCTCAACCCACCCTGGGCAGAGGAGCAGGAATCCTACTAGAAAAAGCAGCGAGAAGACACAAGCTTGTAAGTCCCAAGAGAAAGCCAGAGGCCAGTCTGTGCATTTCCTGGGGTTTTCCTCTATTACCCTTCAGTAAATCATACCTCTTTGTTGCCGGATTCCAGCTCTTCAGAATCAGTACCCCCAAGGAGCAAAATGGAAGTCCTACCTTTAAGCAAAACATAGGTGCCAATCATTGGAACATCTCACTAACTCCAGGAGAGAGATGGGAAATAGGGACTTCAATAGAATATACATTTTTTCCCTAATCCCACACCTAAAGAACCTCTTTGTTTAATTCAGATTCCCATTTTGAGGACCCATCTAGTGGTTGAGGCCAGATTATTGTCAACATAATTTTAGTAAAACAATACCCACTGGATAGTCTGGTAAGGATATTTGGTAAGTGCAGATCATCTGTGTGTATAAATAAGGCAGGAGCAGGTTTGAACCTGAATTACCTTGTATACTCAGACACGGGGCACTCTTCCTCCAAACTATTCTGGTCACAGTAGTGACCACCAGGGGAACTAATCAATGCCTTCATTGAATGCTGACTTTATGTAAATTTCTGTCCTCCATGATCAATAATAGTTGTGAAGGCCCGGTGGTCAGACTCTCTTGGTTTGAATCTCAACTTTATTCTTACTAGCAGTCTGAGTGTAAAAAAAGAGTTAATTCACTTTTCTGAGATGTTGTTGCCTCATTTTTACATTAAGATCAAGAAAAGTGACTACTGCTTAGGTTGTTTTACCATGTAAATGATATCACGTAGATGATAAAGTGCACTAGAAATGTAGCTATGGCAGAGAGGCAGCAGCATGGAGTGAATGACAAGCCAGGCTGTCTATATTTGAATCCAAAACCCAAAACAAACCTCCTGCTCAAGTTGATCCCAACCTTCAGAGACCCTATAGGACAGGTTAGAATTGCTCCATAGGGTTCCTTAGACTGGAATCTTCCTGGAAGCAGACTGACAGATGTCCCTTACATGGCATGGCTGGTCGGTGTGAGGTACTGCCCTCACGATTGGTGCCCCAGCACTTAATTACGATGCCATCGTGGTCCTTTTTCATTTGAACCCTAAATGTATAAAAACACTCAAGTCTGTAACTTCAGAGGAGTTCCTTATTTTCCTTCTATTGCCGTCTCTTCATAATAATAATAATACTTATTTACTGAAAAGCTTATTGGAAAGTCTCTCTTCAGACACATAAAATATTTAGACTAGTGCCTGGCACTCTGTTTGTACTAAATTAAGTAACCAGGAACTTCAGTCGAGGGTTGTGTGAGAGTAAACAGGCCAAACAGCAGTTCAAATTCCAGGTCTCCTCCTCCTGAGTCTGAGCAGCAGTACTCCGGTGAGTCTGTGAGCCCCTCACCGATGAGGTCACTGTGGCTCCATCCAAGACAGAGCGATTCTGAAAAAGTCTCTCCGCTCTACCACCAGGGTACAAGTAACCCACGTTTCAAAAGTTGAGTTCCCATGAAATCCAACTTTAAACTCCTCTTTTTTTCTCTCTCTCCAGGTGCCCAGTCATGGCTGGTGGATTATTTTCTATTGATAAAAGTTACTTTTTTGAACTTGGGACATATGACCCTGGGCTGGATGTGTGGGGTGGAGAAAACATGGAGCTCTCATTCAAGGTATCCTTGAGGGTTTCAAATGCTCCTAACAATGGACAAGGTGTTGCCTTCAAATGGTTTCATTTAACTGACATATGGTTGCATCCTGGAGGAAATTTCACAGAAATTTTCTAGTCTCTGGATCAATGGCTTTCTATCCCAGATTAAACTTGGGAAAATAAATACATCATGAAATCTGTTCAGAGCTCCTTATATTTCACAACACCACTTCTGCATAGAATATGGTGTTTGGAAATTCATACCCAAACTTCAAGCTCACTTCCATTGATCCAGTTTTGACCCCTAGTGGCCCTAGACATGCTTTCTGAGGCTGGGAATCTCGATGGAAGTAGATAGCTGCAATCTCCTGCCATGTTGTGGCTGGTGGGTTTGAACCCTTGACTTTGAGAACCTTGAGGTTAGCAGTCGTATGCTTACGGGACAGCACCATGAGGGCTCATTTGAGGTTCACACTTGATATAAAGTAACTCTCCCAAAACATTTTTCTTTGAAACAATGGAAACATTTAGTATAGGATCACATTTTGGAGACCCCAAGTGGAAGAGGTATAAAAAGTACCTCTAAAGCAGCCACCAACGGGCTAGGGGATTCCAGGGAGCTGATCCTTTGGTTGTGTGTGCCATGCCGGGTCTTTGGGCACATTAACATCTAAACACATGTCTGCAGCACCAGCCACAGTGGGAAAACATCTGACAAGCAGCTGCTTGACTCTGGGACTGGGCGTTCTGTACCCCCGGGGTGCTACTTCAGAGCTCCCGAGGAAGAGAACAGTTTTCAAGTTGTGCTCTACACACCCCATGGAGCTTCACACGATGTGGGAAGGAAGGCACGAGCAGACAATGGAAAGCCATCCCGTCTCTGATTGAACATGGCTTAACGAGGACTCGGAGCCCGGGGGCCATCGTGGTTACACGTTGGGCTGCGATCCCAGGTCAAAGCCACCAGTCGCTGCTCAGGAGAAAGATGGGACTTTCCACCCTCATAAAGAGTTACGGTTTCAGAAACTGATAGGGGGAAGCTCTACCCTCTCCTGTAGGGTCACTGTGGCTCGGCATCGATTCCATGACAGTAAGTTTGGGGGTTTTGGAGTTAATGGGGACTCCCATTACACATTCTATATACAATGGAAGTCTGTGATGATTTCCTTAGGAAGAAATCCTTTGGTGGCAAAGGAGGAAGAAAAAAGTTTTACTAACCCTGATGGTGGTGTTGAAGCCCTTCTGGAGCAGTGGTTACATGTTGGACTGGGATCAAAAGGTCAGCAGTTCGAAACCACCAGCCGGTCCTTAGGAGAGAAATGGGGTTTTCTACTTGAGTTGCAGTCTCAGTAACCGGCAGGGACAGTCTCACCCTCTCCTGTAGTGTAGCTCTGAGTCACCATCCACTCAGTGACAGGGGGTTGATTACTTGGGGGTGGTGTGTAGGCTGCTAACCTGTGGCCCGCAGTTTGAAACCACTTCACAGGTAGAATCCTTTCCTTAAAATGTGGCTTCGGAACCCCACAGGGGCAGTTCTACTCTGTTCCGTAGGGTCGCTGTGATTAAGTATAGACCAGATGGCAGTGAGTTTTGTTTGTTTTTTCTTTTCTTTTTACGGAAGACAGAATAATAAAGGAATTTGTCTGAGAAGAAGTACAACCAGAAGTGAGGTGAGCAAGGCTTTATTCCAGGCACTGTGGGCCTGTGGTCAGACCAGTCCCTGGAAAAAGACAGTCTGCTTGCTCCAAGAGTGTCAATGAGCCGAGCTGACCCAGTGACTGCAGCAGGGGCTCAAGTCCCATCCTCTGGAGGTGGACGTGCACGCCGGACAGGGCAGCGTGCCACCCTGCGGACGGAGGGTCTCCTGGAGTCAGAAGGGACTCCACAGAGCCCAATGACTCCGAGAACTAAACCCTGTTCAGTCACACTTCCTAATCGAAGAACGTTTTCCAGGCTGAGAGCGGGCGTTGCGTGGAGGGTGTGTGCTTGATGTTTTCTTATTAATGGCCTAGGATTTGTGGACAGTCAGCCTGTGATGGATGTTTCTCCAACTGTTCCAGGTGTGGATGTGCGGTGGAGAAATTGAGATTGTCCCCTGCTCCCGAGTTGGGCACATCTTCCGAAATGACAACCCGTATTCCTTCCCGAAAGACCGTATGAAAACAGTGGAGCGGAACTTGGTGCGTGTTGCCGAGGTCTGGCTGGATGAATACAAGGAGCTCTTCTACGGCCACGGCGATCACCTCATGGACCAAGGCTTCGATGCTGGAAACCTCACCCAGCAAAGGGACCTTCGCAGGAGGCTGAAATGCAAAAGCTTCAAATGGTACTTGGAGAACGTTTTTCCGGACTTGAAAGCGCCCATTGTAAGAGCTAACGGTGTGGTAAGTCCAAGCTCCAATAGAAAACCCCATTGCACGAAAGCATCTCTTCCCAAAAAAGGTGTGGGAGAGATCGATTAGTACTTGATAAGCACATGTCTGAGGGCAGATGGGGCAGAGCATGGTTGAGGACTAAATATATGTCAACATCCTTAAAGGAGGTTGTTGTCATTAATTAAGTCACTAAATACTTAATGTCAACAGACCAGTCAGTATTATAGAACTGGATTATCAGGTGGTACATAAAATAGTCCTGAACCCCACTGTGGATAACACAATGCAGAGTAGGGAAGACAAAAGCTAAGAAGTCAAGTGAAAATGCACATATAGCAGTTCTCCAAAAGACCAAACCTAACCCACTACCATCCAGTGGATTCCAAGTCACAGTGACTTTGTATTGGGTTTCTGTGGCTATACAGCTGTTAGGGAGCAGTCTGCTTCAACGTTTTCCTTTGGGGTGGTTAGTGGGTTTGAACCATAAACCTTGCCATTCGGACCCAAAGGGCTCCTTGAGGGAACAAGAAGGAATCCATCAATTCTCAATCAGAGCGAGCAAGAAGTTGCCTCAGAGGAAGAAAGATTAAATCCAAGCCATGTAAGCAAAGGATGCCCTCACTCAAAGGCACCAAGATGGGTGAAGGTTGGGAGCAGCAAGGACTGGTAAACATGTGGATGTGGTTGAAGAGAGTCGAATAGCACCAGAGGTAGGTAGAGAGGGGAGGCAGGGATCCTGTCACACTGGTCCTTGTAGGCATAATAAAATTTTCCTTTCTCCCATTCTCTCTCTCTCTCTCTCTTCATTTGTATCAAAGACTTATGAACCATCATGGGGCAGCATTAAACAGTGAGATGACACGATTTAGGAAGGGCTTTTTGAAGATTTCAAAAAGGAGTTGCAAATGAGAGATTGTTAGAGGAAGGTGGGGAAAGAATCCAGAGCACAAGGAAATGTGCAGAAAACGAAGACAAGCAGGAGGGGATGCCTGGAGGCAAAGGTTCAGAAAACCAACCAAAAAATCACAAAAGAGAAGAAATGGAGGAAAGCTATTTTGACCCCATTCTAAAAGGGAGGCTGAATTTGAAGAGGCTGCCAAGACCTGGGCCCAAGGCGTAGAACACAAGGGTTTGAAATGATGAATCAAGTCTTGGCCTACACTTTTTCTTGGCCATTTTCATTTCAGATCTTTTTTATTGTTTCGTTCCAGTTTAATTTTAATCGCAAATATTTTTCGTACTGTTTGTTGTTGTTATTGTTTTTAGGTTTCATGTTTTCTCAAGACGTGGCCCTCTTGAAGACGGCTCTCTGGGGCCGAGGATTTTTGTTTTGTTGTCTTGTAGACTTTTTCTTAGCAAGCAGTTTGAACAAACCACCCTGCACTCTCTCTGCCTAGAGAGATCTCCTGGAGGGATGTATTCAAAATGGGACTAGCATAAAAAATTGTTCTATCTTTACAAAATCCAACTGATAAATGTATATGGCCTGTTTGTATGAAATAACCATTTTTATATGTCAGAACCCTGGGGAAATAAATGTAGGCCCTCAAATGAGAACAAGCAGAAAGATGTTTATTCAGAGTTTGCTGTAGCCAAGGACTCATGACCATCACTTAGTCTTGACAGAAATTCAAAGGTAGGCCGAGGAGTAAGAAAAGCTTTATGGGAGGGGAAAATAGAACATTCTGGCTGTGTCCTGGCTGGAGATTGTCAGCAGAGGATATGTAAAACCAAAGCCAACTGTGTGGTGGGTTTGCAAGCATGACTGACTTTCTCTGGTTGGTCCTGAGTTGGAAGCAAGGCAAACTAGAACATGTGGTTATCAACCAAACCCTGACCTGGGGGAGGCAATTTCTAAAGACGCTGGAGGTTTGGATTCCCACCGATGGCTTCTACTGTGGTTGTGAGCCAGGCTCCTGTCTTCCTTCATGCGCTCTGTCCTTCTGTAGACTCAGTCTCTCAAATGCCAGCACAGCCTCCCTGGTGGTGGAGTGGGAACGCCCTGAGCTACAGAGCCGGTGCTTTGAAACCGGCAGTTCTTTGGGAGGAAGACTCGGTTTCCTACTCCCTTAGACAATGACAGCTGCAGTCTTGGAAACCCATGGGGTGTTGTCAGGAGTCAGCATTGGCTCCGGGCAGCCAGTTTGGTTTGGGGGAGGCCCCGGTGATGTCTTATCCCATGCAACTCATTTGAGAAAGCACCTTGGATTCATATTCTGCTCAAATAAGAACAATGCCACGTACAATGGTGAAATTCATTTAATCCCATCCCCTAGGCATGAAGAAATGATTATCTTGGCTACACAGAATGACAGGGAGCGCATTACTAAACTTCAACCACCAGAGGGCACCAAACCACTACTTTTTGCTTCCACTGTGAAGCTGTCCTGCGCAATTCTTCCCCGGGAATTTTTCAGGAGTTCTATTATTGAACAGCATTCTGTTGGTGTCTGATTTATAATGTATCAAAATTAAGTCAATATCTTTTTTAAGTGTTGTGACATATTGCTTATTTTTATTCATTATTGGTTTGTCGCCCTCCCTTATACAAATTTTAATAAATATATCTTTTGCTCCTTTCTGAAGCAACCAGTAGGGAGCATTCTTAGCATTAAAAATAATAATAATAATAATAATGAATTGGGAGCTTTTGCTAGGAAATGTAGAATAAGATTAACTAAACCATTATTTCAAAGTCACTAATGTCTTTATTTCCACCAAAAGCTAGCCTTAAAGAATGAAATTTTATTGTCTCATCCTTTTGTAGGCTAAGAATCAGAGGTCTAGTCAGGGCATACAAAGGACTGTCCTCAGTTCCCACGACCTCTCCCTCCCCTCTCTCTCCCTCCACACCTTCCCCTCTCCCTTTCCTTCCACCTCCTCTTTCTCTCTCCGCCTGCACTCAGCTCCCAGCGGCTTTAGGGCAGCGGTTCTCAACCTGTGGGTCAAACGACCCTTTCACAGAGGTTGCCCAGTTGATAACAGTAGCAAAATTACCATTATGAAATAGCAACAAAAATAATTATGTGGTTGGGGGTCACCACAACATGAGGAACTGTATTCAAGATTCGTGGCATTAGGAAGGTTGAGAACCACTGCTCTAGGGGAAGTCTCTTCGCTTCCAGTGTCTGGTAGCCCAGGGTGTTTCTTGATGTCCCCTGGTTTGCAGGTAGCTTCCCTCCTGGGTACCCCATTCATTGTCTGCTCTTCCTTCTTGTAAGACACCACTCATAAAGGATCAGAACCCAGCCCACTCCTGCATGTCCTTGTCAGTCGGTAACACAAGTGCAACCTTATTGCCAAACAAAGCAACATTCACAGTTAGAGGATGCAGGACGTCAGCACATCTTCTGGGGATCACAATTCCATCGTAACAACAGCCCTCAAAGTCTGAGCAAACAAACTCCACAACGTAGCTTTGTTATGTGTTCCCCAGGTTCTCGTCCTCCCCGCTCCACACGCTATCCATCCAGGAGAATGGGTTTCTGGTTGTCATTGTCTTTATACACACATGAATATCTGATTAAACTACAATACTAAAGCTCATCAATGAGCAGCATCAATAATACTCATTTGCATCGGATTCAGCTGTCAGCTAACAACTTACAGTTTAACAATTCTGGAATGAACTACAGGGACATTCTACCCCTTACCTTAGAAGACAAAATGATTGATTTGAATGAATTATTTAAAATGTATTCACTACCTGATATTTTAAAAATTATTTACAGTAGCAGGCATGATTATAACATTTTAAAAATAGGAAGAGATTTAAAATATTCCTAGGAAGAGAATCACAACAATTCTTAACACTCCATACATCATTTCTAGATGAATCAGGGGCAATTTCCTTGTACCTTCTGTCAAATCTCTGTCAGCTGACTGGGAAAGCGGTAGACAGGGAATGGGCTGGTCTTTTTCTTTTCCCTCCCGATGTCTCTCGGTGCTTTGAGCAGGTGATTTCAGGGACTACACAGAGGGAAGGTTGTGAAAATGACTTCATGCAGGGATTCCCAGTTACTCTCTGGACAATGCTACTAGTGGTGCTGCCAAAGTCAGATTCCATGGTCGAATCAATTTAGCAGACTACATTCCCTCGTGCCTAACAGGATGAGCGGCAGCACCATGGTGGTTCTGAGGAGAGGCTCTAGAAGGGGCGGTTTAGCTGTGCGGAATTCAGAGCTTTTCAAACTCATTGAGAGACAGAGTATTTCCCATATCATCCACAAATGCATAATACTTATATCTGTTGCCATTAAGATCTAGAGAGCAACGGGGCTACCACTTCCCCTTGTTGGCCCACGTTTTCTTCTACCTTCGTGAATGTCTATCAACTCTCTCAATTTCTCAGTGGGTAAATCCTGCCCGTTGTGATTGCTCCTATTTACTGGGGATGGATTGTCTCCTCCTCGCCTGCGTTTGTAGATTTAAATTGGGAACAAAGCTTCCTTTGAGGACTTTTGATGGAGATTCATTCTGTCCTTCGGGGACCGGGTTGAATGTTTCTGTACCAGGCAGCCCAGAAGCAACCAACCCGGCAGTATTTTCACATTTGTTTTCCTTCTGAAAAGTGAGGGTTCCTCTTCAATATCCCTATTGTACTTCAGCATCCCTGAGCCCAAACAAGGATTGGTATAAGGCCTGTCCTTCTCAGGGAGGCTGCTTCTTTAGGACGCCGGGACAATGAAATCAAGTTTCCCTGTTGTCCCGCTCACAGGTACATTGGTTGTTGTTTTTTTTCTAGTATATCATTTAAGAGTCTCTGGGTGACACAGAAAGTTCCGGATTGCCTACAAGTGAAAGAAAGGTTGGTGGTTTGAAACCATCCAGAGACCCTAAGGAGATCAGTCTGGACATGGGCTGCAGAAAAGCCACAGTCCTGAAACTCTGTGTGAGCAGCTCTAGTGTGTGATGGGGGCTTGCCGGACTGGCACCTGACTCTCCGGCAAGCAACAACTGTGTGCTGTGTCACCATTTTCCATCTGCCTCTATTGTCCTGTGGCACAAGAGTGCAAGCCTGCTGTCTATCACGACTGCCCACGTTCCTTCTGGGGCTTAGATTTTCTGCCTTCTTTAGTCCCGAGAGATCCCTCTTTTTTTTTTAACAAGTTAAATGGTATGCTTGAAAATGAGAACTAGCCCACTGACCAGCCTCTGGTGATACCTGCCTATTGTGTGAGCTTCAAGACCAGCATCCAGTTGACAGCCTGGAATCTGAGTTCTGTCTGACTCACCACTAAGACCAGCAAGGGACACACGGGTGCCATTCTGAACAAAGACCTGAGCCCTCCCAGCTTGGGAGGCCTTCCTGACACATAAAATAGTGACTCGGCTTGACAGAGCTCCTCTAGAGATCTAAATGGCTCTATAAACCCACCATCTCATTAGCCCTGCCCCCGGGATGTCAAAGGGAGCAAGAGAATCAACATGTTTCTGCATTAAAAGGTGACTTAGAGAACCCTGCCTCTATGTTTGACCCTGTAAATCCATGCAAAAACTGGGGGCCGGCCGGAAAGTGCCTTTCAGGTTGGCTCTGGATTAGCTTTCGTGACTTTCCTGTAATGACTTGTAGCTTGCCCGAGTCATTAGGAAGATTCTGACGGGGAATGAGCTGGAATCTACTGTTCTTTGAAGGACTCAATTTATCTTTGATTCAGTGCCCAGGCAGTCAAATAGCTGAAGGGGTCAGCCAGGGAGCAGAGCTGGTAACTAACCATCGGCTTGATTAGATTGCCAGGATGTGCAGTGATTTCTAATATATGCATCAGAAGAACTTGAGAGAGGAAAATCACTCCTTTTCATGCCACCTTTTGCTCATTTTCCATACAGCATTCCAGGCAAGGGTTCATTAAAAGCTTCTGTTTGTTGGCTCTGTGGTTGAACCACAGACCTAAATGGACAGACTGAAGCTGTGCTTCAGAAAGATTATATTATGCCTCTGTTAGAGCTAGCAACCAATGCAATGGTACCGTGCTAAGCTGTGCCAAGCTAGTCCCTGAGCCAGCGTTCAGCCTTGTTATAGTGTTACACTATGTTTTCTGAACATGTCTGATTGTGTTGTTTATTTTTTGTTTTCTTCATTCTTTATCTTACATTTTGTCCCCCAGCTTATTAACCTGGCCCTGGGTAAATGCGTTTCCATTGTGAACAGCACGGCTCTGCTGGAAGACTGTGATGGGAGCAGCAAGGTATGCTAACCTGGGGTTCTCTGTTTCATCGAGTAAAGCAAGATAAGACACCAGGTCGTTCATCACTCAAGAAGTTCATTTTGCCTAATAGAAGCCATAATGAACTTTTGCATATCTATGTAATCCTAAGGTTAGTGATAAGGGAGTTTACACTCAATGTAAGACAGTGACTCCGGGGGTCATGATTGGGTGCTGAAGTCAGTTTTCCAAGGATCTAGTCTGGCTCCCTAACTTATAAAAGCCTGGTGTCTTTAAGCTTCAGTTAAATAGGGGTGGTAAGAGAAGTGAAAGGAACAGAGTTTTCCCCAAGAACCCTTTGAAGCCCCCTCATAACACTGCAGCTGTTTAAGGAACAGAAACGACACTTGAACAGCACTATGGAGTGGATTCGTTTGCCTGGTGATCCTGTAGGATAGAGCCACAATTGTTTGGTAGGGTCTCTGCATGGGTGAATCTTTATGGGACCAGGCAGCTGGTGAGTTTGAACCACTAACCTCACAGTGAACAGCACAGCACTCAGCCTGCTGTGCCATAAGAGCTCCTTAGGGTCCCACAAATAGTCCTGTTTTTTAGAATGACAAAAACAAAAGTGTGAAACATATAGCATATAACATATCAGGATATAATAGTATCGAAGTCAATGCGCATATCGTCAAACCTGTATACTACTCAGCAATTGAAGTCTCTGCTTCTACCCAATTCCCTATGCACCTGCATCTTAAAGGAGTAATTGGCATTCCCTGAATCCATGATCAAAGGTGGGCAGCTTTATAGTAAACACTAACAAACTCGGTCCCGGGGTGAGGGGTGGGGGGAGGGGCAGAGAGAGCAGCACAAGGGTTCTGTGATGCTGGAAGTGCGTTCTGAGTTTCCACCCCAACATATGTCCCCTAGAGTTCTTTGTTCTGTGGGGACAGTTATTTTGTTTAGCTGCCAAGGAAGAGTGAGTAGAAAGAATGGCATCCGCACAAAGACTTGCAAATCACTCTTGAGTAGAGAAATTGTTTGGTGAGGACAACCTAGACTCACCAAGTCTCAACTGCTTTGCCTTCATTTAATGACATTCCTTAGAGTTTTATGATTTCTTATTTCAACCTCTTCACTTGGGCACGAACGGTTGGGAGGTAGAAGCCACCCAGAAGTGTCTTGAAAGACAGGGCTGACCATCTGCTTCCAAAAGGTCATGAAACCTAAAAACCCTATGGGGCTGTTCTAGCCCTGCGTAGCTCTGGATGCACTTGACAGCGACTCACAGCAACGGCCCGAAGGAAAAGCCACCTCATTACCTCTGTTACCCTAATCCAGCAGTGGCTTGAAATTTGAGATGTAGGCACATTTGGGGGTTTTATTTGTTTGTTTGTTTGTTTTAAGAAAAGGGAAACTAGAGACAGAGGGAAGATAAAGTATCAAAAATCAATAGAAAAAAATAACATGTTCAATAATAATTCCAAGGTGAGATAAAGTAGCATGTTGTAGAAGAAAACCACCATTTTGTCACAATATATAAAGGAAAATGATTAGATAATACTATTCCTCAAAATCTAGGGCATTGTAATGGCTGTTTGAGTCTGATAATTCAGTGGTTCTTCCAAAAACCTCAGTTCTGTTCTTCATAACCCATGGATTCTTTGTTAGGGGATGTGAATATTCAAAAGTATGAATCATGCGGCCTCAATTTTCCAACAACTGCAGCTCCCTTTTTTGGTTGTGTTGCTCATTTTTAGCATCTGCCTCTTGTGGTTTGTATGAGTAATAAAGAGCAAAGAAACACGAATGATGTTATCTTATTTTCAGCAGAATTAATCAGGCACAATACCAAGTCAGGGACTACAGCATTTATCCAAAATAATGCTCGAGAGAAATTAAAACCCTAGGATTGAACCTTTAAGTTTCACTCCTCAACTAAACTTAAAAGTCTCTGTATTCACTCAACTTTACAACTAGTTTTGATGTCTTTTGTCAATGTTACATGCAGCTTTTCTTAGTAGACACACATACACCTAAGGTAGCCTCTATCCATGCATCTCAAAGTTTAGTGCACATCTGCATCACCTGGAGACGTTCTTCCAAAGCAGAGTCTCTGCAGTAGGTCCATGGTTGGGCCTGAGACTCTGCATTTCTAACAAACTCTAAGGTGAGGCAGATGCTCAAAGGACAAGAACATGCCTGACTCTCAGAATTAAATCTCAATGATAAATGACTCAATGCGTTTCAAATCCATTACACACGTCTGATTGGGTAGAAGCATGTCTTTGTCCCAACAGCCTCCACATTTTTCCTGAAAGGTCCACATGACTTTGTGAAACAGCAAGCTTCCCACAGACCTTTGAAGGAAATTCAACAGGCAGGTGATAATAGATTGCAAGAACTAAAGAAAATACATCTCACTGCCATCGAAGCAACTCTGACTCCTAGTGACCCCTGTGGGTTTCGGAAATTACTGGTTTAAGGGAGGAGAAAGCCCTCTGCTGGTGGTTTTTAATTGTTGGCCATGCAGATCATGGCCCAATAAGTAACAACTACACCACATGAAAGTAATAGAAACACAGTTCCTTCCATGTGACTGAGTGGGATTGAAGTGGAGAGACCAAAGTCCATCTGTAAACAATTGGACATCCTTTCACAGAAGCATCACAAGGAAGGGATGAGTCAGCCAGGGTGCAGTACAGCACCGAAGTCCACAACATTCCTCTAGTTCTTTATTCCCTCCCACCCCCCACTGTTTTCATGATCCCAATTCTACCTTACAAACCTGGCTAGACCAGAGCATGTACACTGGTACAGATAAGAGCTTTCAGCACATAGAATCCAGGACAGATAAACCCCTCAGGAACAGTAATGGGAGTAGTGATACCATGAGGGTAGGGGGAAGGTGGGGGGGAAAGGGGGAGAAAGAGGGAACCGAGTGCAAGGACTGAAGTATAACCCCCCACCCCCACAACCACACACACAGGGACAAACAACAGAAATGTGGGTGAAGGGAAACTGCAGACATTGTAAACATGAAAACAATAATTTATCATTTATCAAGGGTTCATGAGGGTGGGAGGGTGGGGACGAAAGAAAGAGGAGCTGATACCAAGAGTGCAAGTGGCAAGAAGGTGTTTTGAAAATGATGATGGCAGCATATGTACAAATGTGCTGGATACAATTGATGCATGGATTGTTCTAAGAGCTGTAAGAGCCACCAATAAAGCAGTTTATTAAAACAGGAAACACAACAGTTCCTTGACCCATATCAGTATTCATTGTAGACACTGACACCTTTCCAAACGGGACTCACTGGTAACTTCACCCAGAGCAGTTCCTGCATATCGTGGATGCTACCATGGTAAAGTTGAGGATTCCCGGTGCTAGCAGAAAAGACGGATCTTTGCCCCAATAAAATAATCCTCAAGAGTCCAATTGTCAAATTTGTCTTAATCAAAAAATAAGAAAGTGTCTTAATTCCCACAAGGAAACTGACTCTAAGCCCCCTTTGGCCTAGGTCCCTAGTCATTCGGTGGTTGAAAGTTTCTATTTCTTCAACTACTTGGATTGCCTGAGAGTCAGAGCATCTGAAACATATCTATTTTAGATATGAACTGATTATCCTAAATAACTTTGATTGTTACAATGTACTTTGTTGAGGGCTGGTTATGTGCCAAACAGATGGCAGTCATGACTTCACTGCTTAGAGACAGACATCGTTGCTATCCAACTTAAAGATGGGATACATGACGTTCGATCTTCTAAATAATCTGCCTGTAGTATTAGAACTGAAAGTGTCATTCCCAGGATTTCAATGCAAAACAACGATTATAGGATTTGAATGTAATAGAATTAAAGAAAATGACAAAGCCCATTGCTCTTCTGCTTTAAGTGACCCATCTTGTTGTGCATTTGCCCACAGTTCCAACAATTTAACTATACCTGGTTAAGACTTATCAAACATGAAGAATCGTGCCTAGCTCCGCTCCCTGACCAAGGAGCCCCAAAGCTGCACCCTTGTGATATCAGAGACAAAGGGCTCAAATGGCTGCATAAATCAACATCTCTCTTTCAACCAGAACTGGTAAGCCAAATATTTGTGCCATTTCTTTACCACAAATTCAACTTGCATCCAAGTAGGACATAAGACGCTCATTGTCAATGTCTTCAATCAGAAGTTTTAAATATGTTTGTAACAATAGCGCAGCGTAAAAGTTAGCACCGAGACGAATAGATATTTTTGCAAATGGTCGTTTTCTTTCTTTTCTTTCATGAATAGTCTTTCAAACCAGTTATTTTAAATGACAGACTCCAGATTTTTTTTGCATTGTATTGCTATCATCTGGGTTTCAAAAGGGGATTTGCTTCAGTCAATCAACAATGCAATAAGTAAGGATTTTTGCTAGAATTTTCATTGTGTACCAGAAAAGCATATAGGGAGAGGAAGTGGCAGAAAGCAGCACGTTTCCTATAAGTCCTGCTCTTGAAGTGTGAATCCAGTGCTTCACTCTGCTCCTTTTCTATATCATGAGCCTTCCCCACCCCCACCCCCACCCCCACCCCCCAGGTTGCCAGGAACCTAAGCTCTCTGTGGTGGATTGAAGCCTGCTGGCCCAAGCTGGCAGGAGCTCCCTGCATGCTGCTCATCCCAACTTGACATTCTTAAAAATAGTCATGGTGGGAGATTCATGCTACGGAAAGTGGTAAGTGCTACAAATCAGGCATGTTTCTCCAGAGATATACTTGCTTATGTTTACCAGAAGACCCTGCTGCCTGGTTCATTCTCAAAGTCCTTTGTCTTTCCCAATTTTATTTTAACAGGATACAAAGAAGTGATACCCTTTGGCGTAGAATACCGGAGTGGGGAGTGTCAGTTTAGGTCTGCCTCTCAGATTTCCTTATAGCTCACTCTCATGTAGGAAGCCATGTTTGACCTCCCCTGGCTACACCAGGAGAAGAAGGAGACTCCAACTCCCATCTACCCAAGAATGAGTTCTAGGACGCAGAGGTCAAACATGCCTCTGCTTCCCAACTTCCTTTACCCGTTTGAACTAACCGGCCCTTTCCAACACACTCCATGTCTCTGCTCGGTTTGACAATGCATCGCATAGCCCCACAGAACTCACAGGCAAGACGCATGAGTGTGGCGTTGATAGGGGAGGCAACAGGTTGCGAGTCTGTCTTGGGAGAAGTAGAGGCAGAAGGCTTCTTAGAGGCAATGATTGTGAGACTTCGTCTCACATACTTTGGAAATATTATCAGGAAAGACCAGTGTCCAGAGCAGGACACCATGCTTGATAAACAGAGGAAAGCTCTTGGCAAGACGGGTTACAATGATGGGCTTAAACATAAGAGCAACGGTGAGCATGACGCGGCCCGGGCTCTGGTGTGTGCTGTTGCACATAGGGTCACTGTGATTCAGAACTAACCCTAAGGCCCCTAACAACTATTACACAGTGTTGAGGCTACAGTTCTCTGGTCCACAGCACCTCTTCTCAGCATCGCTGGCAGACCTGGCTCTCTCAGGTCCTTGGCCTTTGCCCTGTTCTGTGAGCCAGGAAGCCCATGGCTCCACCTCATCGTCTCCAGCACTTTCCCTCTGCTCTGTCTCACGGTCTTGGAGCTATGGCCTCCAGTGCCTCCCCGCTGCCGCCGTCACATCAGGCAGGAATCTCACAGAGGCTCTGCTGGGGGCTCTGCTAGAGCTCTTCTTTCTCGATAGACAAGGGGCTTCTTTCTTCCTGCGTCTAAGCTGGCTCATTCGTATACATAGTAGAATGGCAAAACTGACCCATGCCCTTTATTAGTGTTTCACACACCGATTTGCAGGCTCTCACCCAATCATTTGGTGGGAATTACAGAGACTAAGGCTAGAAGAGCTGCATCCAGCAATTTCATGTCAGCACAGGTACCGCCATGTCCCTGGAGGCCTTAGGCACTTAGGGATCTTTGTGTTTCCCCCTCAGAACTGGTCGCAAAGTAAGCAAACTTTTTTACATGGCATATGGGGTACCCCCACTCCTCCTTCTGATGCAAGAGATATATATATTGCTTTCTCTCCTCCTTCTGATGCAAGATATATATATACATACATATATATATTGCTTTCTCATGCCCAGGCCTAAAAGTCGTAGGCTTCAGCAATACATTCTCTAACCTTCCTCTCATAACTCCGCTCCATTTCAATTTCTTCCAGTCAATTTAATATTCTTAGAGCGAACTATGAATGGCTAGTACATACAGTATTTATTTTAGTTTGCATACTCTGGGGAGATGCATACTGACATATGCTGAATAAATTGTCCTTATCTTCTCCTTACCCCTGTACCAGATGTGTGATAAAAGGAGAGAAAATAAGGACATGTTTCTCATTTACAGAAGTGAGTTAAGATTCCAGGCTAGTGTTGGAAATTTGGAGGAGCAAGTAGCCCTTAAATCATCCAGAGCTAGTGGCGGCCGCTGGAGCCGGTGTCCTGGCTGGTGATGGGGTTAATTCCCTATCGTCAGACTCTTACTTGCACGCTCCCAGCCTGCCTTCGCCCTGCCATGCCGCAGTCCAACCGCCTTGTCCTCCTCAGTTACATGGGCCACTAAGAGGGATGATATATGTGATTGAAAACAGCCCAGGACCCTCCAGTGGTAACAAGGACATGGGACTCCTCCTGCCAGATTCCAGATGGTTCAGTACCATTGACATCCTGGTTGACACCTGTGGAAAGGAACCTACGATTATTTTATTTTATTTTTGTGGGACACCACATCCCCGACTCCATAGAACACATCAGGCTTCATGTTCCCTGTAGAATTCTATAATAACCTTTACTAATGAGAATGTCTGATACTGTTACTATAAAAGATGAATCTGAAATGATGAAGAATTTGGAGGCAGAAGTGAAAGATAGAACCAAAGTTGAAAATCTTATCAAGTCAGAAAACTGTAGCAAGGTTTTGGCAGAGAAGAATGAACAGTGTATTGACAACAATATTGATTTGCAGGAGAAAATCCAGATCCACTTAATGCAATCATTTGAAAAAGAGGAGACGCCCTCAAAAGATGAAGTGGAAAAAAAAAAGCCAGTGATAAGTTACCCAGAAAAATGTTATCAAGAGATTCCAGTCAAGAATACACGGATTCTACTGGCATAGATCTACATGAAGTTTTAGTAAATACATTTTTAAAAAATCCCCGGGACAGAATGATGCTGCTGAAATTGGAACAAGACATTTTAGATTTCATTGGTAATAATGAGTCTCCACGTAAAAAATTCCCCCCAATGACATCGTACCATAGGATCTCTTACACCGACTAGCTGCTTACTTTGGATTAGACCATAATGTTGATCAGAGTGGAGAGTCTGTCATAGTATACAAAACTAGCAATACAAGAATACTGGATCGGAAATTCAGCGAACATATCAAGGATGATAAAGGTGAAGACTTTCAGAAACGCTATATCCTGAAGCGAGATGACTCTAGCTTTAACCAAGATGATAACCAGAGGAGAAGCCAATTGAAAGATGACAGAAGTAGCAAATCTATAGAAGAAAGAGAAGAGTATCAGAGCGCTAGAGACTGAATATTTTCCCAAGATTCCCTGTGTTCCCAAGAGAATTATATTATTGACAAAAGAATCCAAGACGAAGATGCTAGTAGTACTCAGCAGAGGCGCCAGATATTTAGGGTTAAGAAAGATGCGTCAGGGAGATCAACCAATAGCCATCACAGCAGCAGCACAGAGAACGAGCTCAAGTACTCGGAGCCAAGGCCCTGGAGCAGCACGGATTCCGACAGCTCTCTCCGCAACCTAAAGCCTGCTGTCACCAAGACCGGCAGCTTCAGTGGGATTTCAGTCCTAACAAGAGGTGATAGTTCTGGAAGCAGCCAGAGCATAGGCAGGCTTTCAAAAACAGGTCAGCCCTTCATAACCCAGATGGGAGTCCAGTTGTGTATAATCCTCCTATGACTCCACAACCAATCCGAACGCTCCTGGACCTCCACAGCCACCTCTGCCGCCCCCACCAACTCAGCAACAGGCCGCCAATCAGATTTTCTCACAGCAGGACAACTTTGGGTCTCAGTTTAACCACATGAGCCTTGCCAGCCAATCATCTGCCGATGGTTCTGACCCGCACCCCACCATGTTCCAGTCCACGGTTGTTCTCCCGTCTCCACAGCAGTCTGGTTATATTGTCCCAGCCTCCCCTCCTCACCATCCTCCACCGCAGCCTCCCCTCCCAGCTGGGCAACCAGTCCCAACTGCCAGCTATTACGGCCTCCTCATCCTCTCAGCCAGCCTGGGCTCCAGCAACAGGGCTATATCCCGCAGTCCTCACCACAGATGCCGGCCTGTTACTGTACTCCAGGCCACTATCAGTCCAGTCAACCTCAGGACTGCCCAGTCCCCTGTGTCCACGACAATTCCCATCTCAACCAACCACTGCCACAGCCTGCACAGCAGACAGGTTATCAAGTTAGACCCAACCAGCAGCAAAACTCTCAAGGGATAGTTGGAGTTCAGCAACCCCGAAGTCAGAGTCTAGTTAGTAGCCAACCCAACAACATTGGAAACCAAATTCAAGGAATTGCCCATCAGACTTATCAACAGCCTGTTATGTTCCCTAATCAGTCTAATCAACGATCTATGCCCACGACAGGAATGCCATTTTAGTACAGTGTCATTCCACCTGGTCAACAAAATAATTTAAGTTCCTCAGTAGGCTACTTGACACGTCCAGGACCAGAACAAGGACAGGTCCCCCTTTCAGTACCCAGCCGCTGCAGAGCCACCAGTGCACAGCTGTGCCGCCTCCGCCACCTGGTGGAGGCATGGTGATGATGCAACTCAACGCTCCAAGCAAACCCCACTCTCACGCCCACTCACCTCCCCAGTGGAAACAAAACGAGTGCTACTGTGATCACCAGAGAGGACTGAAGTGTGTGGTATTCAGCAGTGTGGACAGCCGTGTCCAGCCCAGCCCTCAGCTCAGTAGCCCCATTATTTCGCCAGCTCCGTCGCCAGCACCAGCTCAGCTGTCAACCCTGAAAGCTGTCCACCCCTCTGGACCACCACTTTTCATAATGCCCCAGTTTTCTTGAGCTTTTGTCTCTGGGCAAGGTGATACCAGATATCCAGTACTTGGCCAACCACTGCAATACAACCCGCCGGCTGTTCTACCCGGACACATCCCCAACCAGCAGGGCCAGCCTGGCAGTCAGCATGGAAACCGAGGAAGGAAACAAGCTAAAAAGACTGCGTCCACTGACCTTGGCGCTGGAGAAGCAGTTATCGGGAAGGTCTTGCAAATTACTGAACTCCCAGATGGAACAACTCGCATGGAAGCCGAGAACCTCTGGAGAACGCTTTAAAATAGGCGCCAAGATCCGGTGGCTGCGGGACCCACAGTCCCAGCTCCGCTTGGGACTCTGGGGGCGGAGACAGCACAGTCCACTCCGAGTGCTCTAAACCCAGCGACTTGGCCTCCACGTACACCTTCTTAGCCTCATTCCCCTCCATTTCAGCTGCGCAGAATGCCTTGAAGAAGCAGATTAACTCGTTAACAAGTTTAAGCTGAGAACAAGCAAGAAGAACTATGACTTTCACATTTTGGAAAGGGCCAGTTCTCGGTAACAGGAACCACCTATGGGCCCTTCGCCTCGGGGATGACCCGGTTCTCTCCCATCTCTGATTGGCTTGGTATCTGGAGCTTCTGTTAACATTCTAGAGACTCCTATGGCATTACAGCTTTTGAAGAAAGGCCAGTGATATCCACAGAAGGAAGAGAGAGCTGCATTTTGCCCCAAATGACTAAAGAAATCCACATCGGGATGATACATAATTATCAGCATTTTCCAAGGAAATGCTGTTCAAATGCCTCCTAACTTTATAGTGATTTTGTTTTATATTTCTGAATTCTTGTATCAGATCCAAAGCTCTATTTCTATAGTACAGCAGAGTCTCCAAAACGATCGTAACATGTTGCCACCTGTATTTCTCTTTGCAGCCAGCACAGTGCGACCCAGCACAGAGTGGGGAGGGGGGGGGGTGATGCAGGAGTGGAACCACCATGGGAGACCATTTAGTATCTTTCTGGGTCATTGGGGTAGACTAGGGAGAGCCCACAAATGGAAGACTGCTCTGACCCAGAATCCCCACACACAACAGAATTTCCAGAAAACACAGAACTCCCCCATAAGGTCCTTTGCTTCCTCACTTAGGTAGTCTGAGCATTGGGGTGAAGTAAATGATCTTCTTAACAACCTCTTGATCACAACACTTAGCTTCCAAGAGGAAGAAATCACTGTAGAAACAGGAAAATACTTACTTTTTTTATGCTTAAGCATCTCTCCAGTAAGTAAATGCCACTTAACTCGCTTGCTCCTCCTTGTGGATCTTATTTAGTCACCTGAGGAAATGCATTTAAGGAGTGCTGGGAACTTCTGCAGTGGTTTAAAATGTATTCTATTGTTTGCAGCGGATCACTGGACATCACAGATTCGTTGCACTTACGAACAAGGAACCTTTCTTTTCAATTTCTGCGTAATTTGCAAGACTGTACAATGTGTGCTGATGCCAGCCTTTTTCAGTTCAAGAGAATAAATGTTTACAAATAAAAAAATATCATCCAGAGCTTATTTGTAAATTGGGTTGGATCCATTGAGAACTCAAGGTTTAATTAGCTGATATTAGAAGTTCCTGAAAGAAATGGAATTAAAGATAATGGAATTCTTCCACAAACCTTTTGAAGTTCCCTCACGGGCCCAGATTTGATCCCCCTCGATAGGAGGCGTCTCTGGTAAAAAAGACACTTTCAGGTAGTGGAAATTAGAACTCTGCTCCGGGCCTTGTTTGGGCCTTCACAGACCGAGGATGGCTGTGTAACATGTAACAACTTCTGCCTTTGGGCGCTCGTCAGTGTCATATACATAAATCTCCTTGAAAATTGACTTTCTTTTTTCTTCATTTTACCAGATGCCTTTATCCTAAACCCGCTAAGGTCCCCAAGATATGTGATCGTAAACAACAGAGGAAATTGAGGACAACACTATATCTGATAACAACATAGTTCTCCAGTTAGAAAGCATTAAGGGTTTTGGAACATCACAGGGGGGGAAAGGCACTAATGAATTTGAACACAAAAGAGTTGTTAAAATGGTACACTGATAGATTGGAATTGCCAAGGCATTTCCAAGGGTACCCCCCCCCATGTGCTGCCGTGCTCTTGACGTGTCCTTAAAAAAAAGAACCTCAAGGGTGGCTATGAGGACTTGGGACATGGACTGCATGTCTACCCATGTATTCTTACCACTAGTTCCCATAGCAAGTGTCTTCGTTTGGAGACAAGTCACGTACGATCTGTCTGCAACACATTATAGAAAATCTAAAATGGGTTTGCTCAAGATCGGTTCTTTTACAAAACCTTGTCATATTTCAAAAATTCTACAAGAGCAACAATCTTTTTATAAAAGCATCACTTATAAAATAGTTATGACAATAACCTGCATTTGATCACTATTAATTGTTTTTAAATATATTTTGAATTATTTTAAATATTTATAATTAAGATGATCTTTTAAGAAGTCATAATAATAGGAACGACTTATAGGTAGAAAAATTAGGAAATCATGAAAAAGTGCTTGGTAAGGTATGTAGCATATCTAGAATATTCAATAAGTACTTTAAAATTACAGAGCTTCTGAAATAACCTGAGAATTATTTTAATTCATAAATAAACTACTTAATTTCTAGGCTTTTGTAATACAAATTTGCATTGTAAGGTCTGGATTTAATTAAAAACTTAACTCACTTTTAATGATGATACATGATTTTTTGTTTGTTTACTACTATCAGTAGTAAATATTAAAATGATAAATATTATCAAATATAGTAAATGTCATCTAGAACTATTTCCTTTAAGCAATATATAAGCCATATTGTCAACATTCATCTTTTTGTTGTCAAAGAATTAAAAATTCTGGCAATATAGAGAAATAGGAATACTTAGTTTGAGGCAAAGATGAACAAACCTTTATACCCTGTCTTTATGTTATTTATTTATCTTTTGTTTTTATTCTTAAGGAATCAAAACTATAATTACTTATTTTTATTGTCTCTATTTCTTTAAATCTCAGTTGTCAAATTCAGCCTGCGACTCATTCACGGATTTCTTTCCTCTACAGGTGAATCACATCATTTTCGAAAACCATCATCCGTTGTTGTGCTTAGAAGGAAATTTTCCTCAGAAGACCCTAAAGACAGCTCCTTGTGATCCAAAGAAGCCAAGTCAAAAGTGGAATTTTGAAAACTATTATGAAGATTGAAGAGGACCTGTTATTATTATTTCGAAAACCTATTAAAACCAACTACAAAACCCATCCATTCTGATTCACGGGGCCCTCACTTGCCACAAAATAGAACTGAGCATCTTAGGGTTTTCCTTTCTGTAATCTTCACAGAAGCAAATCACCTGGCCTTTCTTCTACAATGAGGTTGGGTGGGTTCGAACTACCAACCTTTTGGTTACAGGCAAGCACAAATCATTTGCACCAGCTAGGTACTTAATAAGCCCATTAAATACTGTGCAAATAATAGAAAGTTTGGTGACTGTATTTCTCAGCAGTACTTGAAATGTTCAATTTAAATAGTGTTTGAATGGAAGATGGAAATAAATGCCATAATATTTAAGACACAAAAAGCAATGTTTTAATATTTAAGACTCAAAGAAGCAATCCAAGTTTGGACTAGGGTCCTTTTTTCAGAATTGTGTGACCTTTGTAATTGCCTCCTACCCTGCCTGCCCTCTGGAACTGGTCCCATAGGTTTTCTCCATACAATCTAACAGGGCACTGGAAATTAAAACAAAAATACATATGGAAGAAGCACAAAGATACTCATTATGATAGTGTTTGATAATGTCCAACTCATTAGGTACCATCAAAAAAATCTGGTCTTTGCTATTTTTCAATCAACAAAAATTGCTCGAGTTCTTAATGGCTAGGAAGACCTCATCATCAGACTAGTGTGTAACCCCTAGAGACCACCTACAGCTTTGTCTGTATGAAATATATTGGTATGATTATAGACCACCTACAGTTTTGTCTGTATGAAATATATTGGTATGATCCCACTTGATGGCAGAGTTGTATTCCAGAGTACCACAAAAATCTTTTCCCAGCTGAGAAGGCACCCTTAAATGCTTATTGAATTCAAAATACGGGCATTGCTTCAGCTCCTTAAATTTTGCTTTCTATACACTTAAAGTTTGTAAAAACGGTTGCACCAGTAACTTGCTAAACTTATGCAAATTTATACACACACACACACACACACACACACCAATGCATACATACATATAGGGCTAGGGCACAACATAGTGTAGTAACAAAAGATATTTTAATCATTGAACAAACTTTAATGTGGGACCAAACAGGAAGAGTTGCAACAAATAAAGCAGAAATAGAGCACAGAAATATATTAAGATTCTTTTGTCTGAAAAGAGTAAATTACTATTTTAGACTTAGTAGCAATCAGAAGAATACAGTATGCTAAAAACTGACCCTAAAAGGTTTTTTTTCACAGTAGAAATAAAGAGAGGAAACAGAATGCAAGAGCAGAATGAAGTGCACACCCGTCAGGAAAAGGGCTGGGAGGAAACCAGCCCAAATCCTGGTCCAAAAAAGTTACCTTTTGCTTCATGCTCTATATTTCTTCATGTCAAATACTGGGTGTGGACCCAATGAAAACACTGCATATGTTGTGAAAAGATGGCTTTCAATACTTCCTTGATTCAAATTGAGGCCTGCATCTGAGATTTGGGAAGGACATACAACAAAGAATTGGAGAGACCATGATAATCCTTTACATTCATTTCGGTACCAAAAATAAAAGAAGAAAAAAGTAATGACAACCCAGAGACAAATTACTGTCCCAAACTCCCAGGCCAGTTAGTGATGGAACCAGGATTAGAATTTGAGCCTCCAGAGTGCAGTGCTCAGTCCACCATCTGTAGCCACTGACCCCAGCAAATGTGCTTCACAGGTCCCTAAGAAAGAGCCATACACCCTTTTGGTGCAGTGGGTCCCTCAAGGATTTGTTGCCGTTACTCCCTGCGAGTTGAATCAGCCTTGACTGATGGCAATCCTGCCCAGTGAACCAGAGGCTGTGTGGCTCCGCGCCACCCCTCCGATTGACTGCGGAGACTGTTGAGATCCTTAGCGTTTTCACTGGCTGATTTTCAGGATTTCTTCAAAGGCTTTTGCTTTCTAGACCATCTTACTCAGAAAGGTCCATTGAAGCCCGTTTCCCATCACAGCAACACACAGGCCTCCTCGGACAGATGAGTGGTGGCTGCACAGAGGTGCATTGGCCAGCAATTTAACCCAAGTTTTCCACA